GAATTTAGCCTATTTCAATTTAAAATTAATATTGTTATGTGTGAATTTGATTCTGTCATGATGGTGCTAGCTGGTTATTTTTCACATTAGTTGATGCAGTATTTTCATAGTGTCATTGGGTTTTCCATTTTGGTGTGTTTTTGCAGTGGCTGGAACCAGTTTTTTCTTTCTATATTTAGTGCTTTTTTCAGGAGCTTTTGTAAGGCAGGACTGGTGGTGACAAAATCCCTCAGCATTTGCTTATCTGTATAGGATTTTATTTCTTCTTCACTTACGAAGCTGAGTTGGGCTAGTTTTGAAATTCTGGTTGGAAAACTTTTTCTTTAAAAATGTTGAATATTAGCTTTGGGTCTCTCTGGCTGGTAGGGTTTCTGCATAAACAGTCACTGTTCCACTTATGGGCTTCTCTTTGTAGATAACCTGACCTTTCTCTCTGGCTGCCCTTAACATTTTTTCCTTCATTTGAAACTTGGAGAATCTGATGACTATGTGTCTTGGGGTTTCTCTTCTCAAGAAGATTCTTAGTGGTGTTCTCTCTATTTCCTGAATTTGAATGTTGGCCTGTCTTGCTGAGTTGGGGAAATTCTCCTGCATAATATTCTGACATGTGTTTTCCAAGTTGGTTGCATTCTCCCCGTCACTTTCAGGTACACCAGTCAATCATAGGTTTGGTCTTTTCACATAGTCTCATATTCCTTGGAGGCTTTGTTTATTTCTTGTCATTCTTTTCTCTCTGATCTTGTCTTCACACCCATTTCAGTAAGTTTATCTTCAATCTCCGATACATTTTCTTCCACTTGATTAATCTAGCTATTGACACTTGTCTATTCTTTACAAGGTTCTTGTGCTGCGTTTTTCAGCTCCATCAGGTCATTTATTTTCCTGTCTAAACTGATTATTGCAATTAACAGTTCCTGTAAACTTTTATCAAGGTTCTTAGCTCCCCTGCATTGGGTTAGAACATGCTTCCTTAGCTCAGAAAAGTATGTTATTTTGGTACGCGTTGTATGGTTTTTCTGCATATGAGATTATGTTGTCTGCAAACAGATATCATTTTACTTTTTCATTTCTAATTCCTGTGCTCTTTATTTCTTCTGCGTGGCTAACGGTTCTGACTAGGTCTTTCCATTCTATTTGGAAAAGACGTGGTGAAAGTGCATCCTCGCTTTGTTCCTGAAATCACAGAAATACCTGCAGTTCTTCAGACTGCATATGATGTTAACGGAGGGAGTTTCAAAGACGGGCTTTACTCTGCTAAGGTAGTTTCCTTTTAGTTATAATTAATTGAGTGTTTTTATCATGAAAGGGTGTGGGATTTTGTGAAATAATTTCTGTAGCCACAGTCTTAGTGCTTTGCATCTGGAAGAGCCAATCTGCTCTCCACCCACCCGTAGCTCCTCCACTATATGTGTTGTTTAGAGAGAAAGAAAAACCTTGTGTCCTTCACAGGACTGGGGCCACTCCGCCAGAGCCACAGCAGTAGTCACCTGTGTGAGAGGGTTGGGGAGGGAAGAGGCCCTCATGGATACACCTGTAGACTCTGCTTGAATCCACAGTAGCTGTTACCCATCCATAGATGTGGACTGGGATCATGCTCCCCCTACCACCCTGGATTCAGACATAGGGAAGGGTTCATGGACAAAGGGGAATAGACCAGAATCAGAAGCAATAGGGTAAGAGGACTAGGCTCAGGCTCCTGTGGATAATATGGGGTGACAGTTATAGGGACTCACCCCATTTGTCCCAGAGTTTGTGTCTGTGTTAAGTCTTTCTTTCTTTTTTTTTTTAATTTTACTATTTTTTTTATGAGTCTTTTAAGAAAGCCAGTTTTTTTTCTCACTCTGACCACCTCCAGCTGATAACCCCTCTTTTAAGTTGATTAGATTTGGATGGCCCTTGAGGTTCCATTAATGAACTTTAATTTAAAGAAAAGGGTGTGGAATGACTGCTTCATCCAAATCAGCCCTCCTCCCTTATCTTCCATGCCTTCAAGGATCTCAGTCCTGACCATCACATGAACACATTTTGCAGGTGGGGTGAAGAAGGCCAGGCTAGCTGTACCCAGTTTCCTGTGAGAATGCAGCTGCTGAGCCCAGTGAACGGTGAGCGGATGACACAGGGTCACATCAGGGGCTGGCTTCTTAGCTATGGTCACCTGCAGACCCCCAGAGATAAGCCCACAGCATCCAGTGCTGTCCCAGGCCCAGACACAGTGAGTCTTTCAGTTTCTCTCTGCCTTTCTATATTTCTTCCATTCCAAAGAGACCGCTGTGAGGGTCCTGGTGAATGTGCATCTGTACTCACTGCTGTGCACGGAACTCCTGAATCATGACATAGCTGCCTGCTCCACTCTGCTATTTGTAGTAAAGTCCTGGCATCTTGAACCTGCTGAAGGGGTTCCCTGATAGACATCAGAGCAGGGAGCCCAACTTCATAAAGGGGAACCCACCAGGAATGAAGGGGTGTGCCCTGAGCTGCCTGTTTCTTCCCCACTCCAGAGTATGGCCCATTTCCAGGCTCCAAATTTTCTCCTGGAAGCCGTGTGCTCTAAGACTTGGTCTCTCCTCTGCTCTCAGCTCACCGGCCTCCAGCATCAAATGAACCTGAAGCTGCTCTCTCACTGGACATAGGCAGAGACCAGACTGAGCGTTTCTGTCTCTCACATGCTACTTACGCATCCCTGGCTGAACTCCCTCTGCGTGGGGACTGAGGAGCCTCGTGCATTTGGTTGTGACAGAACATGAGATTTTTTGTCCAGAGCTCAGACTGAAGCAACCCCTAGGGAGGCCCTAAATCTGCAGACTGAAGAATAATAGAAAGAATAATTAGGGAAGTGAGTAGGCATCATTCCCTGGGAATTATATCACATGCATTTAGTGCAAACTAACGTGCTTACTTGAGAGCACCTGTGTTAAAGAAGCTCCGTCTCTTTGAGGTTAAGCCCCAGACCCAGCATCAGTAAGGGGGGCTGTGTGATATAGCTGGCCTAGAGTTAGAACCTGAACAATACCATTTAATAAAATATAGAACTGTTTCTAAAATAAGTTGTAAAGGCTGACTGCGGGCCTTGGCTTCTGTAAATAAAACTGCTAGTTTACAGAATGCAAAGAAGTAAAGCTGCTTACCTTCTCTTATCAGTAACTGCCAGAGTTGCTAGCCTTGACTTACCAGTAATAACCAGAATAAGCAGCCCAAAATCATTCCATCCTTGCTCCTGGGACTCGTAATAAGTAACTAAGATGATGTATAAACTAATGTTTGTCTTGACTTCTGTAAACCACTTAAGTAACAATCGGAATGACAAAAGTCCCCTGGCCCTTGGAATGTCCAGAGCCCCCCTCACCCTGGTCTCGGCCCAGGAGGTGATTTAGCCCTCTAAATGACTGAAGCCTTTCATCCCCATCCCCGCTCCTCACCCCCACTCCCAAGGTGGCTTTACAGGTATAAAAAGGTCTTGTCACCCTTCTTTCTCTGCCACGGGTTGGAGAGACGTGAGTCCTCCGTGGTCGCCGGCAATAAACCCTGCAATTTGGCGTACTTTTGTCTTGGTGTTGACTGTCTATGCTCGGTCCAGTATAACACCTGCACCCTGCTTTGCCTCTTCCAGGTTGTGACACTGTGTACGGTTTCTACGTAAAATAAGGGGCACCCAGTTATGTCTATATTTAAATAAACAATATTGTCTTGGAATAGAGATGCTGTTTTTTTCTCTTTTTGACTCAGTCTCACTCTGTTTCCCCACCTGGAGTGCAGTGGCCCAGTCTCAGCTCACTGCAACCTCTGCCTCTTGGGCACAAGTGATTGTCATGCATCCATCTTCTGAGTAACTGGAATTACAGGAAGTGCCATGAGGCCCAGATAATTTTTGTATTTTTAGGATATGTGAAGGTGCACTACACGGCTCAGACTTGGCTCAAACTCCTGGCTAAGCAATGCAGCAGCCTCAGCCTCCCAAAGTGCAGGGATGAAGGTGTGAGCCACCACACCTAGCCTACATATTGACTCTTAATCATTGTTTTACTCAGTTTAAATTTCACTGACCTCTAGTGTTTATGTTGATAAATCAGAGAACCCTGCCTTCACGCCACACACACTTCCTCTCCAATCAGGGCCCATTGCCTGAAAAGCATTAGTAGAGTTTTTGTCAGGATTAAATGAAGTCACAGTCTCAGGAATTAAAAAGTTGTTTGTCTGTAAAAGGTTGTACATGTACTAAAGGAAACATAATGTGGTCGCCCAAAGAGACGCAGACAGACCCCCATGTTTCTACACACAGACCCTGGCTGGGAGGGAACATAAATAGCAGCATCCTGGGTCACTCCTGCTGAGAGAAACCAACAGGCCAGGAGACAGGATGTACGAGGGGAGGTGCTTTTCATAGTTCTCGTGTGGCATCTTGTTTGTGTATTACACATTCAAAATCAGGAGAACAAAACAAAATTGTCCAGCACTGGGTAGAGGCGAGTCAGTAATAGCATAAGATGTAAGCAGGGCTGCGCATCACTGGAGAGAGAAGATGAAATGCCTGCAGGGCTCGATACTGTTAGAGTCTCCAGGAAATGTATTGATTTTTCTAAAATCAGCAGACAGGAATATAATCTATCCTAGATGATGTATATGTGTCTATACAAATGTAAAAATAGCCACAAAAGGCAAAATGACCCAGAAACCCTCAAAGATACTAATGAGATGCAATTCAGCATCAACAGGGAGAATCTCAGAAGAAGTTTGCAGAGTGAAAGAAGCCTGAACAAACGGGAGCATCATGTTTGATCACCTAACATTCCCCAAAATGAAAACCAAGCAGTAGTGACAGAGAAAGATCTGTGGCTTCCCAGGATGCTTTGGGGGAGAGAAGGAGATGGCAAAGGTGAGGAGGAGCTGCTGGCGTTGGACACAGGTTGCATAGCTGGCGGTGGTGATATTTTCAGGGATGCAGATAGATCTGAAAATGGGTGTAATAGTATAATGTAGATATTGGTGGTTTATTATATGTACATTATTTGTTCTTGGAAAGAATTTTATTAAAAACAATAGGCTGGTGAGGAAAGAAGCAAAGGATTCCCCCTGAGGGGAAGGGAGAGAAAGCCACCAGTCTGGCAATTTCTAGAAATCAGGAAATGAGCATGATGGAGACACAGGTTCTGCCTAAGAGGTGGGTCTGAGGTGACACAGCTGGAACAGCAACCTCATCCCGGGACTTCAGTGCAGACACCGTGTCCCAAGGTACAGGGAACAGAATGTTTTGTTTCCTGGAGGCGGTGTTCCTGGGAAGGAGGTGCTGTGTCTGATTCTCAGAACACAAGAAACCTTCTACTCTCATGCAGGGCCCTCAATGCCCTGGACCATGGGGGAAGCAGCAGCAGCAGAAGCCACAGGCCATGACTGACCAGCAGCTGTTGAGCGCTCACCCTCTTGGCAGAAGAGAAGGGGGGGTTCTTGTCTCACTTCCCCTTGGGTCTGGAACACTGTGTGAGCATTCAGGTTGCTGTCATATGACTGGCAATAATAATCAGCCTCATCCGCAGACTGGAGTCCAGTGATGGCCAGGGAGGCGGAGGTGCCAGACTTGGAGCCAGAGAATCGGTCAGAAACCCCTGAGGGTCGCTGATTATTACCATAGATGAGAAGCTTGGGGGCCATTCCTGGGAGCTGCTGGTACCATTGCACAGTATACCCCCCGATGTTGGAGCTGCTTCCAGAACAGGAGATGGTGATCCTCTGCCCAGGGTTCCCAGACACTGAGGGCGGCTGAGTCAGCACAGACTGGGCCCAGCATCCTGGAAGTGGGAGACACACAGGCATCATCATTCTGGGTATAGAGACAAGAGGTGAAAGCAAGAATCCATAGGCTTCCCAGGGCCCCTCCCCTGGAGCCCATACAGTCACCTGTGGAGTGAGCCAGGACCGTGAGGAGGAGAGGAGCCCAGGCCATGCTGGAGATTGTCCTGAGTGCTGCCTTCTGTGCCACAGCTGAAGCAGAGCTTCCCCAAATGTCTCCCTGCCCCTCTTCATATCTGAGAGTGGGAGGTCCATCCATGCAAATCAGACCCCCCAGCTTCCTAATCCCTCCCTGAGCCCTAGGCTAGGTCCCTATGCCTGAGGATGTCAGGGAGTGGCAGGGTGGGGCATTGTGGTCCTAAGGGGTGGGGAGGACCCAGCTGTGAGCCCTGAGAAGAGGACATCAGGCAGGGAAGAGGGCTGGTTCTGCGCTAATCACCCCCAGTCTTCTCAGGAATGGTTCTCAAGCGCCTCCTGGTGTCCAGACCAACACAAACCATTTACAAGGTGACCAGAGCCTCTCAGAGACACTGCTGCCTCCCTGCTCTTCTGTTCTCTGTCCCCTCTCTGGGTCAGGCCAGGTGGTGCCTGTATCCTCTCCCTGTGACCTCAGGACTGTTCTCACACTTTACTGGGCTCCTCAGGAGTGAATCTGTCCATGGCGCTCCCACTGTTTATTGTAGAGGACTCAGGTGGTGACTACACAACATCCTCATAGGTGAGAATCAAACCAGAGCAGGGACTGACCTTCATGAACTTACTCCCACATCGGGACCTCTCCTCTCATGTGGCTCCTCACTGGTGGCCAGAGCTCTCCTTCCTCTGTGATCCTGCAGCACTGAGTTGAAAGGGAACTCTTTCCTCTAGGATTCCCAGCGCACATTCCCAGATGGTTATTCTGGTAAATCTGTGTTCTCTTCCCCAGAATTGTGGTCATAGTCATCTGGGTTCTGTGACCAGGCTCAGCAGTGTCTCACATACAGGAGAAGGTTTCCCAGTGTCCCCTCCCTGCCCGTGAATGCTCTTTCTGGTTGATGCCACATCAGCTTTTAGAGTGAGGGCAGAGAGACGAGCAGGTCCACAGCTACCTGTCCCAGTTCAGCCCCATCCTGGGGCCAGTAGAATGTACCCCTTGTGATAAGAGGTAGGTCTTTGTCAAATAGTTATTGAGCATGTATCTTTTGCTGGACATAGAGCTCAGTGTTGGAAATGCCATGTTGATCTAGAAAGCCTAATCCCTAACTTTTGCGGTTGATCCTGATAAAAACAAAAGCATAGGAGGGGCACCGGAGTCCTCTTCCATTTCCTTAATCCCTGGGTCAGAGACCAGCACAGGAGGTGCACCGGAGTCCTCTTCCATTTCCTTAATCCCTGGGTCAGAGACCAGCACAGGAGGGGTACCAGAGTCCTCTTCCATTTCCTTAATCCCTGGGTCAGAGACCAGCACAGGAGGGGCACCGGAGTCCTCTTCCATTTCCTTAATCCCTGGGTCAGAGACCAGCACAGGAGGGGCACCGGAGTCCTCTTCCATTTCCTTAATCCCTGGGTCAGAGACCAGCACAGGAGGGGCACCGGAGTCCTCTTCCATTTCCTTAATCCCTGGGTCAGAGACCAGCACAGGAGGGGCACCGGAGTCCTCTTCCATTTCCTTAATCCCTGGGTCAGAGACCAGCACAGGAGGGGCACCGGAGTCCTCTTCCATTTCCTTAATCCCTGGGTCAGAGACCAGCACAGGAGGGGCACCGGAGTCCTCTTCCATTTCCTTAATCCCTGGGTCAGAGACCAGGGAGGCTCTGCTGCACTCCACTGTCCAGGAAGAGATGATTTGGTGGCATCAGAGAGGAAGAAAGAAGAAAAGACTATAGGAGAACCAAGGGAGTATCAGCCTGACCTGAAGATTCCTGGGTTCAGATGAAGATGTGGGGAAGTCCACAAAGTAGACACAGATGCATAACATAATATAAATAACAGGATCTAGGAGAAGCGGACTCCCTGGAAGGAGGGATTGTGATTTAGAAAGACACCCTTGCAGGGCAAGTCCTTAGGAATCCAAGAAGATGTACTTTTGTTCCCCAAGTCCAGGAGCTTGTTCACTGGTTTGGCCTTATCTGATGGGGCTACTGAAAATGAAGGCAGCGGGGAGCCGCGTGTGAGTGGGGAGAGGTGTGGAGAGAGGGAGAACGTGGGCGGCAGAAGAGGACATTCCACTTTAGGAGAGACTGGATGGGAGGTGTGAGATGAAAATGTTCAGATGTACAGGCTTTTTAAAAAAAGATGTTTCATATAAATGGGATCATGTAAATTTTTGGCTTGTTGTGAGAGAAGAAGACAAATTCAAAGCTATTTTGCTGTTATTTTAAAAGGCAGTGTATCTTCAGCAAAGAAAATCCGCTTCACAGGTGCCATCCTGGTAGACTGTAAGCACTGTGTTTTTAAAAGGCTTTTTAACTTTTTTAAAGGCATTATACTGCTTTTCTTCATAAATATATATGCCAAGTAAAATTGTTGACATTAGTTAATACTAGATTTTTGTAAGAGTCATGCACTTACCTTGTGGAAACGTATGCTCTGAACCTTTCTGAGGTTGTTCATTGAGAAGGCCAGGAACATGCACTACCTAACGTATTCATGCCATTGTTTCTCAGGAGTAAACTTGTGAAGCTCTGGAATGAATTTTCTTAGATCTTGGAGTATTTTTTAAGAGGTAATGAAACTTTTCTCTGCTAACCCTGTATTTATTAAGGACCCCTCCCACCTCTCTTTTTTGTGACAGTGGGCTGTAGGTGCATGGTGGGCGTCATTAGCTGCTGAGTGGAAAATGAGCCATGTGAGGGAAGGAGAACCTAAGAGTGAGTACAGGGTTTTGGAAATCAAACGGCCCTAGACCTGAGGAAATAATATGACATTATTAGGTAGAGACAGCACTTTCTAGAAGGACACTGAGAAGAAGAAACTAAGGTTTGAGTAAACTCAGAGAGTTCAGTTATGTCTCTAATAGTTGGCTTTGTGTCCTGAAGAGGCAGGGTCACAGCTGGGTCAGAGCCAGGTTGATACTGATCTCAGACCCTGGGACAAGGACCCGGGGAACACTCTCAGCAGTGACACAGGTGACCTGGGGGAGCAGCAGCCTTGGGATGGGAACAGAAGGAGGCACCCTATGGAGTGCGTGAACAGAGGGGCAGGGGCGGCTGCTGTCCCCTGAGTCTGGTCCTCAGTGGAATGGGAGCAGAAGGAGGCACCCTATGGAGTGCATGAACAGAGGGGCAGGGGCAGGTGCTGTCCCCTGAGTCTGGTCCTCAGTGAAATGAGAGCAGAAGGAGGCACCCTATGGAGTGCATGAACAGAGGGGCAGGGGCAGGTGCTGTCCCCTGAGTCTGGTCCTCAGTGGAATGGGAGCAGAAGGAGGCACCCTATGGAGTGCGTGAACAAAGGGGCAGGGGCAGGTGCTGTCCCCTGAGTCTGGTCCTCAGTGGAATGGGAGCAGAAGGAGGCACCCTATGGAGTGTGTGAACTGAGGGGCAGGGGCAGATGCTGTCCCAAGTCTGATCCTCTGTTGAAAGAGGAGCAAAAGCAGATTGAGAACAAGTGACTAGGTGGTGGCGATCAGTGACCTCTAGTGTGGCTTCTTGAAATCCTTTTTCCTTTTTTTTATTTTTTTCTCCCCTGGGCTTAGGAGGCCAACATGAGGGTGTTTATCTGCTTTCTGTCTCTCCAAACACTACCTGATTCTCCTGTCTGCCTCCTTGATGGGCATTGTGTGTCTTGGCCTGGAATTGATCTGTGAAAGGAATATCAGGAAGGTCAGAGAGCCCAAGATGGAGTTTTATGAGACAGAGACATGCTTGCCTGTGTCCCAGCCCAGCTTTCAGTTTTCACAAGACAACACCCATCACGAGCTAAAGATGAACGTGGAGGGTAGAGTGATTCACACAGTGGGGCTACTTAGGCATGTCTCCTGGTTTTTTTTTCTTTTCCTGTCATGTCTGGACCCCAGATCTCTCAGCCATGAGTTTAGCATGTAAATGTCCCCAGCTGCAATGTTAGGGACAGGCCATGTGTGGCCCAAAGCAGTCAGATAGGCTCCCTGGTCATCATGAAGCTGTCGTGGGAGAGAGCATGAATAGTCTGTTTGTCCAGAAGGCTGAGATTTCTGACCAGTGGGTCAGAAAGGGCAGATCTTTCTCATTCTGGAACTTATCATAGTGAGGATGTAATATGTGAAATTGGGGAGTCCATTTTTTTCCAAATAGGAATTCAGCCAGTGGATAGGAGAGATTATGGAGAATTGACATCTCATATATCTGAGAGATGTTTTCTCTCCTTCTTGCCACATGGAGAGGAAAAGGTCCTGTGACACCTTTGATCAAGGCTGGGAAGCTGTTGTCTAAGTTTTCACTGTGACAATGAGCTTAAGGCTTCCTGCAGCCCCCAAGACTTGAAGGACCCCCGAGTAGTGTAATCAGTATGCCCCACTCGGGTGCTAAGGCCTGCCTCTCCCCTCATCCAGGCTTCAGTCCCTCCTTACCAGAAGCCAGTGCTCAGTCTGACCACTTCTCCCAGTGACCCCAGCTGGTCCCATGGCTTTCACACTTTCTACCTCCTTGTCCATCTTCTCTGAAGCAACTGGAATTGTCCTCACAAACTTACCTCAGATCCTGTGTCCTTCTTGCCCAACCCTCTAACGGCTCCTCTACCCTCCCCAACCCAAGCTCTCCTCCCCTCACTGTGCGATGCCATCTTATTGCATCAATATTTTTAATTGGGTGTCCTTTTTTGTAAGTCAGTGTCAGCTCTATGAGGACAGGCACCATTCTGTGTTGTCCTCCCTGTGTCCTGAGTCTTTCACCCTGTGTCTGGCACACAATAGGTACTCAGCAAATTCTGTGGATGGACAGACCTCTGGTAGCTGGCTCTCCTGGGTCAGACACAGTGGACTCTTAGTCTTGCCCTGACCTACCATGGACTTGGCTCCCAGGGCAGCCCGACCGTGGTATTGACAGGTTTTTCTCTATATGAGGCAATATGACAATGTGTTATTGCTAAGAGGGGGATGTGTGGATAGAATTGCAAAGAACAGGACACACTCTGTAGACCATGTTCACTGGAGTAGGTCTGAAACTTTAAATTTTGGCCACAGTGTTAATTACCTTACTTGGTCAAGGGGAGGAA